TGAAAATGCTCGAAACACAAAAAATACTCTAAATAATTTTTTATCGACGTCAGACTATTTCCAATCAATTTTTCAGTCAAGATTAAGTATAGAAAAACCTTTTCCTCCTTGAATACATTTTTTTCTGCGGAAAAATCAGATTAGTGAACGAAAATTAGTGAACTTGAAATTTCTCCTGCCAGAATTAGGGCATACTGCTCTATACGAATATTGAAAAACGAAAGCGAACGAATTATGCTTCTTACGTCCTTCATCCTATCACTAACCTTACGAAAATCGTATATACGTGAGATATGACATAAAACTGCTGAATTCGGAACGATGATGTCAAAAAACAGCCTTCGAATAAATTTGAAATATCTCTGCCCAGAACAATATAGAAAATGATTTTTTTGTAGCACCATAATTAACATGACGAAAAATAGATTCTGAACATGAGGTATCGGGTCATTACTTAAAGGACCGTTTTTTCACATTAGTTTCTGGTACTTTGTGTTTTTTTAAGTAAAATGCTCTCAAAATATTTAGATAGACCTGTGAATTTTTATCATAATTATACTTTGCCATACCTAACACTCTGTACAATTTTCTACAAGATCTTTTGTGTATTTCATAAAATTGTTCTCTGGCTGGGATGCATTCGATCTTAACCTTCCACACTACTTTTATAGTTCTCGTACAGTAATGAGTATTTCTTCAAATCTTGTATAGTGCACATATAAGAATCACAATATTGACGAAGAATAACATAAATATATTTTTCTACAGCACATTTGCCAAAACAAATATTTATTCCATTTATTAATAATTTTTGTTAACCTTTTCATGAACACACAGCACCTAGAATTCTGGTAAAAGTTCATTTGACTTTACCTGATTTTCCTGTGCGAGGATAGTTCTCAAAATTTACCTCCTAGTTGCATATACTACTTGCTTTGAGACAGTATAAATAAAAGAAAAAATTATGTAAAATGTGCTAATTGAAGATAATAGTACTAGTAAAAAAACAGAAGAGCAACGAAGAACACACATTGTGTTATCAGTACCACACAACATATCTTTGTTGAATAAAAAGAAAAAGAACAAAGATTTATGTCAATGGGATGATACAGGAAAAAAGTTAATTTAATGAAGAACTTAGAAAAAAACCCAGTATGCGCCGATTCAGCAAGAACTATGAACATCTACTTATGAATGATATGTCACAGATAACGTTAGGTATCTAGTATTACTTTTGCTGAAAGGCGGTATTGAATGGGTAGTTTGATAGTGACTTTACTTTTGTTGAAAATTTATTGAAAATGAACACATTTTGTTGTAAATCTTCTTTAAAGAAGTGTGCAGCTGTCATATCCGCGATATCTTTCAATTGCTAAGTAATGTCATCACTCTTTGTTTATTGGCTGCTAATATTGTACATTACTTGATATGTATAAGTTCATTATCAACGTAAAACATTCGCATAGAAGTTTCTTAATTATGAAGTAATGTAAACATATTTCAAACTAATGATTTAGATTTTCAATAGCTTAATCAAACAAACCCGTCGTTAGCAATATGTCAATTCTTGAAGAAGGTACGTTGAGAGATTACCTTAGTCAACCATGGAAATTATTTATAACAATATTTTGCTTTTTTGCATTCATTGTCATGGTAAACAAACGTCTTGATGCACAGGCAACGTTTTTTTTGCTTTGGATTATTTTCGCATTCAGGGTGTTTATATCGAATTAGCTGGTCCTACATTAGACATGCTAAGTCTCCAAATTGCGTCGGATATGGCTCGTATTGCCTGGATAGTAGCTGCACGTAGTCTTGGCAACTTAATCGGTGTAGTACTTTTTGGTATCATATTTCATTCGATTATCAAGAAACAAACAGAATTACTATTGGCTGTAGCTTACTTTATTCCTGCTTTTGGTAGGTAAAGCAGCTTTAAATAATTTGTTCCATTAAAGACACGACTTTGTTTTAGCGATGTTGGTAACGCCATATATAAAGTCATTATTTTTATTATGTGTAGCGCTGTTTTCAGAAGGCGTGTCGCAAGGTTTAACAGATTTAGGTATAATGTGTTACTACGAATTATATTATCTTCCATACATAATCGAACAGTTGTATTTTAAGGTATGGGTCTTCTTGTAACAAAAATGTGGGGAGCCCGTGCCACTTCTCCGTTGAATGCTGCTTTATTGGGTTATCCATGTGGTGCTTTGATAGCAGTTCTTCTCATACGTTTCTCTTCTGCTGATGTCCACATTCTTGTAGACCCTCGATCCTATAATGAATCTACACCAGTTAACAAACTACCAACATTTCAACCTCGTCTAGTTCCAGCATATTCAGCTGCGTCCGTTCTGTGCACTATAGTAACTATCTCATTTATTATTATTGCCATAAAAGAACATAAGAGAACACCAATAGAGTCAGAGAAGACTAAACGCATAATAACAGGTCAAAAGTCAGTGGATGATGAAGAACTACGACTAAGACACAAACCAAAACGGGTATTAAATAAAGCTATATTTTGGAAATCGTGCAGTCCAACAACATGTGGAAGTGGTTATATGGTTTATGGGTTTGTCTTCCTTTCAATGTGGTTACTGTACTGCATGTTTTTTGGTAAGCCGTCAGTGCACAATAGCTCCCAACTTGTTTCTAGCGTCATTGTTTATGTTGCTATTTCATCTCAGGTGGTGTGGAACAGGCCTTTTCGAAGTTTTTCTTTTCATTCATCAAAAATGAGAAACTAGATGGATTCTCCAACGATGAAGCATTGTACTCAGTGATAGCTTATTGGCTCGCAGCGGCGATCGGGCGCGCCCTATGCACATTTGTCTCAATCCGCATAAAACCACATTTAGTACTGAGTCTAGCATGGTTTTTATCTGTGACTACATACGCACTATGGTTCATATTCGTCTGGTACGTCGGCCTATCAAAACTGTCCATATTTCTGTTGGGTACGGCAAGTGGTTTCACATTCGCTCCAATATTTCCAACATCCATCGGGTGGATTAAACGTCGTTTGAGTTTAACACCGATTGAGATGTCATTGATCCTCAGCGCAACTGCTATTGGAGGCATCATTTTCAGTTTATTTTCTGGTTTCATATTTGAAATGTATGGACGGAATCACTTTTTCACGTTGGTGTTAACTGGTGGTATATCGTCCTTTATTTTACTGCAATTCTCGTTGATTATTGATCGGTTTCATAAAAAACACAGAAAAGACCGAACTGATGAGAAAATTGGGGAAGATGAGCTGGAGAGACTGAGTCGAGACGAAACGAAGCCGGCCAGATTAGGAGATGAAAATGTCTCAGATGTTTGACACGTAAGACTTTAATATTTGCTAATTATTTGCTTTTATACAATGTTTTAAGTACGCTTTTTCCCTATAATAAACTAGTTATAATAGTCATATAGTTGCTTACGAAACGGACTTGTATCTTAAGCAGAATCGATTTTTATTCCTCATATTCTGTTTCATTGATACTTTAGTAGCCCTTCGTCTGAGTAGAAAGAGTGGAAATCGGGTCTTCAGGAGTATGTAAGCGTTCATCTCCATTCATGTAAGCTCGTATCTTTTTGACCGTTCTAAATTTCAAGCCGATAATATCCTCACGTAAATATGACTTTTTAAATCAACAAATCGTCAAATGCAAACGTCAAATATTATTCAGATTCTCACTAACGCAGAATATTCATTTCATTTCTAGTGTGAGTACCGAATGCCAGGTCCTACCAGCATGTACGCAGGCTGATGAATTTTTTATATCATGAAAAGTTGAATAGTTTTCTCTGATATTGATCGCGATGCGAGCTTAGATATTAAATAGAATCGATCCACATCTTAGAGAAGTTGAAGTTCATAGTGAGAAAATATATCATATGATAGCTTTTTTCACTACATCCACCATCATATCCACGAATGGACACAACAATAGAGACAACAGTGAATTTTTAATCTGTTTACTCAGTACTGAAAATTAAAAATTATTGAAACTTTAGACTTGGACTCTCTTGAGGGTAGGAAAGAGTTTAATATCGAACGAGCAATGAGAACTTGAAGTAATAGTACGAAAATGATGTTCTGCACTTTATTTCTGCTTATATGTAAAATGATTAACCCAAGTTATTAGGTTTCTAATGTATATTCTAGCATTTATTTCTCGCAAACGGAGACATAGATCTCTCTGGCAGAGCTGAACACACTTGTTTCCTCTGTGCACATGTTGATATATGAAATTAGTGTCATGACTGCTGCTAGTCGAAAATTATCCTACTATACTACAGGAGTGTATCCCAGATTCTTAAACTTTTGGATTGTTCTTTGTAGCGAGAAAGGAAAATTTATTCAACTGTCACACGCAAGAATAAGCACATGCTGTTTTAGTCTGAATTCATATCTCGCGTTCATGTCATTGCCGTACAGCAATTTATTTAGAAAGCAAGAAATAAAATAATGCTGATTTTGGTAGGATACTATTTAAACAATATGACACGTCGGGTAATTCATTTCACATTGGAAACAGGAAGTAGTCATCATATAAATAACAATATATATTTGCAGAAAATATCATCAGTTGTTATTCTAAGTATCAAGGTGTTAACTCTTCTTCATTTTGATATTTTCAGATCACAAAGAAAAAATAAAGTTACGATAAAAACTAAAAGGTTCAAAGCAATTTTATTTGATTCAAAAATCAAGTACGGGCGATCGATGTTCTTTCCTGGGTAGAATCTATACACAAAATTTCACCAGTTCAATAAATTAATCTACTTTTATCTCCTAATGTTTATTGCTGCTAATGTATATTGCTTCATATATATCAGGTTTTAATAAAAGAAACCAACTAGTTTTCGGTTTTAAATTGTTTTCGCGCTTTCGTTTAGTTTTGTAAACATTTTTTTAAGAAGTCTGATATACTTCCGAGTTTTTAAGCGATAATAATTTTTTTCTTCTGTTCGTTTATGTCTAATCCCCGTGGTCATGTCATCCAAAAACGAGAAAACTTTAACCTCGAACAGTCACTCAGGCGTGGGAAGAAAAAAGAGTTCCTTAGCCATATCGACAGATTCTATTATCAATCATAAAGATTTTGAAGAAGAATTTTATTCGATTGATCGTCAACGTAAAGGCTATATTGCTCAGAAAGATGTTCGCGATCTTATGTCAAAATATAAAAATCAGTTTAGTCAAAGACAAATTCATGAACGTCTACAAGAAATGGGATTACAAAATTCTAATGATAAAATCACGCTCGATGAATACGTTGATTTTCGTATATTGCCAAAAGCGAGCTCATCACCTCAACCTCAATTATCAACATTGCAGACAACAGCGAAGCAATTTGATCCATTTCAATTTTTTGATAAAAATGAAGACCATCACATTGACCAATACGAGATCATTCAATCATATAAAGATTTAGGCTTGAATATCACTGAGCAGGAGGTTAAAACAATGATTAAATGTCTTGATGTGAATAAAGACGGAAGAATTGATCAACGAGAATTTAATTTAGTGAAGAATCATGCAACAATGGATGATAATTAACCATCTTCATCTAGATGTAGGTGATACAAGAAACTGATCCTTAATCTTTTTGGAAAACGACGATTTATTACTTGAATAATACTTCCAAATTTTGAAGAGAATCATCAGTTTCCGTACTATTTATGTGACACAAACAAACTGACTTTTTAAATATGTATCGATTTCTCTTCATAATCAGTTAAACATCTTTCAAAAAATGTGAAAAAAATACCCTAATTTTTGTGAACTGGTTAACATCTTTCATTTTGATACAAATGATAGGACACAGTTAACTATTATTATAGTGAACAACAAGTCATATATGCTTGCATCTTTTGAGTGGTTAAGTTAAATTGTTGTCATAAAACGTCGGATGCCTACATAAATTAGTTTTATTGATTGTTGGCAACAAAATTGTTTTAGAAAAAGATCTATGCTCTCTCCTGCCTTGCGAACATCGAGACCTAGTCCTGCCATGACCTTCAGGTCTGCACAAGGTCGATCTGCACATCTCTACCGTAAATATGTACGTTCTTCGACATAGATTACACTGTTTCACTCAGTTCTATACCATATCTTTTGGCCCATCGACAAAAACCTTGCCCATTTTGCCCATCGTTTTTTTCCGATACAATAGAAGTTTGCCCATTGGACTAAAAATCCTGGTTACGCCGCTGCTCGAGCGTGATTTTCACTCAAGAACCAACGCTAAATCACTTGTGGTTATTAAATGGCATCGGCTAATTGATCTTGCATTTTGAGGCTTCATTGCATTTTCACAATTTTTCAACGGAATAATCATAATTCAACATTGAAATGTCAGATTTACTCTGAAAATGATAAGATTTCTATGCTAGAAAGATTATCATTTTTCTCTGCAGGAGATGGGATTTAACTATATCCTATATCAGAATCGCGGAAGATTTCTGCAGAAGTCGCGCTTCCTTTGATAGAGTCCTACAATAGAGTTCCCGTGTTATTCTCTAAGGTTCCAGTAAGACTTTTACTAGTGTTCTTTGACTTTGATAGTTTTCTATAGATGACTTTGGTGTTGGAGTATATTATATGAGGTGTGAAAAAGTTAAACTGCTAGAGCAACTATGTCATAAATCTGTTTGTTCGTTTTAAAAAATTCTCAGCTCAATTACCGGAGTGCTTTACCTATAATTTTCGAGGAAACTGACATTGAAAAAATGCTCTGATGAACCTTAAACCGGTATATCTGTTTCTTAATTTCGTATTGACGACAATGCGACGGATACTGAAATTTCCCAGCAGCTTTTCCTTCACGACCCACAGAGTTCAGCTTTATTTTATGTAAAAAAGTCTGTTGGTGAAACTACATTCTTTCGAAGAAAACAAAGTTTTCAGCTAGAATCAAGCACGACGATTGACGCGTGGCAAAATTTTTCTCTTACATACGAAAGAGCGCGACCATCTCTTAAAACTAAACACACCTATACATAATACTTTTCAAATGATACAATTTGCAAGACACAAATCCCATGATTTATTATAACAAACTCAATAAGAACTGTACAGACTTGCGGAACAGCAACTTAAATATGATCAATAATTAAGATTCCACAAGCTTTCCTATTATATGCTTATTCCCAGGTCCAAGGATTAGATAACAATATCTTGGAAGATCTTACAAGATCATATACGATCTTGGGTGATCGTATAATGAGAAATCATAAGATTTCAAAAGATCTTATCAATTCTTATCAATTTCCTATAAGATCTTACAAGATTCATATGACATCTTGTAGCAAGATTCTTATATGATTTTACAAGATTTTTCTTATCATAGGAATGTACAAGATCTTGTATGATCTTATAAGATCTTACACAAAGAAGGTATAAGAAATTATACGACCTTATAAGAAGTCACAAGATTTTATACGATCTTACAAGATCATACGCTTGATCATTTCCTGTCGAATCCTCTATACCTCTGCATTTTTCTTTTTCTAATATAATTTCTAACATTTGGCCCTAGGCGGCCACAGGACCGTCTTTTGCCACGTTTCTTAACCATGCACTTCGTATGTGCTCAACTGACGTGTGAAGTTCAAAAGAGAAAAGAGTTTGAAGCTTTTCAAAGAGAATGATGTTATATATATACTGTATTACGTCGCAAAATTTATATAGTAGAGATGAGTCATCGATCTTATGAGATCTTATGACAAGAACTCATATGATCTTATAAGACCTTATCTAGTCTTGTGACAAAAAAATATATAAAAGTCAACAATGTCTGGTACAAGATTTTGTAAGATCTTACAAGATCATATGAATTCTTGTCATAAGGACTTACAAGACCTTGTCACTTCTCATAACCAGATCTTAGGGGATCTTATAACAAGAAGTTACAAGATTCCATAAGATCTTATATTATCTTATAATAAGGTCTTGTATGATCATATCGTAAGACCTTATTACAAGAAAACATCACATCTTGCAAAGGTCTTACAAGACGTGTTTCACCTGGATTGGTTTACTTACACGTAATGCACCAGTGTGTAAACGCAAAACTTAAACCGTATTTCACGTAGGGGTGGGACAATTCCAGTTCCTAAAGTTCTTCAGAACTAGTGGAATGAACTGGTTAGGCGGTCTCGTTCTAAGAACGGAAACTGCTGAACGTTCTTTTTCAAAGAACGAGAACTGGTTACCAGTTCTTTTCATGGATTCAAAATAAAATAAAACCCGTGAAACTACTATCCATTTCAATGAACAATGCACTCGGTTGTAAGTAGAATAACTTCGGATAGGAAGCAGCTAGAGACCTGCGACTTTCAACATTCGACAGAGAATTATACTTTTTATATAGAAATGTCGAAAGCTGATTAGTCAACAATTGACAAATCAGGTGAGTTTTCGCTTGACATATTGGGCACTGCCTAGCAAAAACATTCCCCATTGAATTTGAAAATCTAATACAACCATTCGATAGAGAAAATTGTTCTCTATTGATATACACAAGGCCCAGCTCTTTAGCTTGTGTTGTTCAGGAACTATAAGCATTTTCCTGAGAGCCGTTTATTTTCAGTTTTGAAGCGATCGAAATCATTAAATTGGATATTTCTAAAATTTTTATATTCGGACGTTATGCCGCGTATTGAGTCGATATTTCAAAAAAGTTTAATTTAGCGAATTAATTCGCTTCAAAACTGAAAATAAACATCACTACTCGACTCAGCATGGTCGATTATCTATAGCGACCGATTTGCTTATGTGTTGCTCAATCGATGCTAGAGTTCGTACTTGCAGCATATGTAGTATAGGTCGCGTACTACCTGTACCCAAAGACATATGTGGAATCGACCTTCGCATATGTGCGAAATCGTATCTGCAAAATTGGGAAATATTAATAATGATCGTGCTTTTTGGCTAAGTTTTTCTCCGAAAAGTAAAAGTATTTCATTAAAAACGAGTTTCACTGCACAGAACACGTATGGCTCTACTCAAATTTGTAGCTTTAATCTGAAAAAGGTGGTTCACTAGGGGTGCTAAACTAAATCTGTATCAACAAATACACAAGGAATACTGTCTTCTTTCTATTGCCGACTACATTTCTAAAATATCTGTATATCTATAGATCTTATTTTGCAGCGAATGACATCGACACATGTATATTTGGACCCTCCGAGTCTTGAGGTTTCATTTGAGATACTACAAGATTATGTTTTGCGACGTTCGTTTTTCGTCATATCTGGATCCCTCCGACCGCTCCAGTTAGTCCATCTATGAATATGCTCCAAAACGCAAGTTAATGTCAGATAGTCCAAGTGGTGTAAAAGAGAAAGATAGAATTCCTTGTGTATTTGTTGATACACTTTAGCGATTATAGGAAAATGTTACCTTTCCAGTGGGAATTCTCACATAGTTGCATTCGATCTTATTTTGCGAAGAGGTTACTCTATACACCGACCTATTTAGAAAATATGTTGATTGACACTGAAGTCAAAAAGATCGAACGTTCCAAAAAGGCTGGTTTTAATACTTCTGAAATAATCTTGGATAAAATCTTCGAAACGTACTTTACGGTAGAAGGTTATACCGAATCTGAATTAGTAGTATACATCTATGTTTAGATAGAAGTTTACACAACAATATGTTAGAAACTATTAGATATAGAGATACAATACATCAAAAAACCTGTATAATGCAAACTACCTATCCTTTTATCTTTTTTTCGGACTTAAATAAGTACTTTTCCGTGACACATGCTCGCACATATGCCGAATGACATCGACACATGTATATTTTGGGTACAGGTAGTATGCGACCTATACTACATATGCTGCAAGTACGAACTCTAGCTCTGCTGCGTAGACTGACATATGACGCCTGTAAAATGCAGTTTCCGACACATGCTGTTTTTAGCGGCTTTTACGATGCTGTAAGTCCTAAAGGAAGCATTATCTAGTCAAAACATTTTGGGAATCTTCCTAAATGTGTTGACGCTACCACACACAGGAATTTGAACCAAAAGTTCGAACATCGATTGAGCAGCACATAAGGAAATCGGTCGCTCTTTCCG